GTCTGTTTGTGGATGTCTGTTTGTGGATGTCTGTTTGTGGATGTCTGTTTGTGGATGTCTGTTTGTGGATGTCTGTTTGTGGATGTCTGTTTGTGGATGTCTGTTTGTGGATGTCTGTTTGTGGATGTCTGTTTGTGGATGTGTGGATGTCTGTTAGTGGATGTCTGTCTGTGGATGTCTGTTTGTGGATGTCTGTGGATCTGTGGATGTCTGTGGATGTGTGGATGTCTGTTTGTGGATGTGTGGATGTCTGTTTGTGGATGTGTGGATGTCTGTGGATGTCTGTTTGTGTATGTGTGGATGTCTGTGGATGTCTGTTTGTGTATGTGTGGATGTCTGTTTGTGGATGTGTGGATGTCTGTTTGTGGATGTCTGTTTGTGGATGTGTGGATGTCTGTGGGTTTGTGGATGTGTGGATGTCTGTGGATGTGTGGATGTCTGTTTGTGGATGTCTGTTTGTGGATGTCTGTTTGTGGGTTTGTGGATGTGTGGATGTCTGTTTGTGGATGTCTGTGGATCTGTGGATGTGTGGATGTCTGTTTGTGGATGTGTGGATGTCTGTTTGTGGATGTGTGGATGTCTGTCTGTGGATGTTTGTTTGTGGATGTCTGTTTGTGGATGTCTGTCTGTGGATGTTTGTTTGTGGATGTCTGTTTGTGGATGTCTGTTTGTGGATGTCTGTTTGTGGATGTGTAGATGTCTGTTTGTGGGTTGGTGGATGTCTGTTTGTGGGTTTGTGGATGTGTGGATGTCTGTTTGTGGATGTCTGTGGATCTGTGGATGTGTGGATGTCTGTTTGTGGATGTGTGGATGTCTGTTTGTGGATGTGTGGATGTCTGTCTGTGGATGTTTGTTTGTGTGGATGTCTCTGTTTGGATGTCTGATGTGATGTGTGGATGTCTGTTTGTGGATGTCTGTTTGTGGATGTCTGTTTGTGGATGTCTGTTTGTGGATGTGTGGATGTCTGTTTGTGGATCTGTTTGTGATGTCTGTTTGTGGATGTCTGTTTGTGGATGTCTGTTTGTGGATGTCTGTTTGTGGATGTCTGTTTGTGGATGTTTGTGGATGTGTGGATGTCTGTTTGTGGGTTTGTGGATGTGGATGTCTGTTTGTGGATGTCTGTTGGTGGATGTCTGTCTGTGGATGTCTGTCTGTGGATTTGTGGATGTCTAGTGGATGTCTGTCTGTGGATGTCTGTCTGTGGATGTCTGTCTGTGGATGTCTGTCTGTGGATGTCTGTGTGGATGTCTGTTTGTGGATGTCTGTTTGTGGATGTCTGTTTGTGGGTTTGTGGATGTGTGGATGTCTGTTTGTGGATGTCTGTGGATGTGGATGTGTGGATGTCTGTTTGTGGATGTCTGTTTGGTGTGGATGTCTGTTTGTGGATGTCTGTGGATGTCTGTTTGTGGATGTCTGTTTGTGGATGTGTGGATGTCTGTTTGTGGATGTGTGTGGATGTCTGTTTGTGGATGTCTGTTTGTGTATGTGTGGATGTCTGTTTGTGGATGTGTGGATGTCTGTTTGTGGATGTGTGGATGTCTGTGTGTGGATGTCTGTTTTGTGGATGTGTGGATGTCTGTTTGTGGATGTCTGGATGTCTGTTTGTGGATGTGTGATGTCTGTTTGTGGATGTCTGTCTGTGGATGTCTGTCTGTGGATGTCTGTGGATGTCTGTGTGGATGTCTGTTTGTGTGGATGTCTGTGGATGTCTGTTTGTGGGTTTGTGGATGTGTGATGTCTGTTTGTGGATGTCTGTTTGTGGATGTGTGGATGTCTGTTTGTGGGTTTGTGGATGTGTGGATGTCTGTTTGTGTTTGTGGATGTGTGATGTCTGTTTGTGGATGTGTGGATGTCTGTTTGTGGGTTTGTGGATGTCTGTTTGTGGATGTGTGGATGTCTGTTTGTGGATGTCTGTTTGTGGATGTGTGGATGTCTGTTTGTGGATGTGTGGATGTCTGTTTTGTGATGTGTGGATGTCTGTTTGTGGGTTTGTGGATGTGTGGATGTCTGTTTGTGGGTTTGTGGATGTGTGTGGATGTCTGTTTGTGGGTTTGTGGATGTGTGGATGTCTGTTTGTGGGTTTGTGGATGTGTGGATGTCTGTTTGTGGATGTCTCTGTTTGTGGATGTGTGGATGTGTGTGGATGTCTGTTTGTGGATGTGTGGATGTCTGTTTGTGGATGTCTGTTTGTGGATGTGTGGATGTCTGTTTGTGGATGTCTGTTTGTGGATGTCTGTTTGTGGATGTCTGTTTGTGGATGTTTGTCTGTTTGTGGATGTGTGGATGTCTGTTTGTGGATGTGTGGATGTGGATGTCTGTTTGTGGATGTGTGGACGTCTGTTTGTGGACGTCTGGATGTGTGGATGTCTGGATGTGTGGATGTCTGTCTGTTTGTCTCAGTGTGTGTAGGAGTGTATTTATGTCTGTTAGCGTTTGTACGTGTGTATGTGAGTGTATGTGCTTCTGTTAGTGTATGCATGTGTATGTTTGCAATTGCATGTATGTGCATACGTTATTGTAAGTTTCTGTCAAATAAGTGAGAGTCTGTCATTTAGTGTGTGTGTGACTATTAGTGTGTGTCTCTCTGTCAATGAATGAGTGTGTGTCAGTGAATGTGTGTGTCAAATCAGTGAAGTCTGTGTGTTTGTCATTGAATGTGTGTGTTACTGTCAGTGTGTATCTGCCAGTGTGGGTGTCTGTCAGAGAGTGTGCTTAAAGGGACACTATAGGCACCCAGACTACTTCAGCTCCTTGAAGTGGTCTGGGTGCAGTGTCCCAGTCCCCTTAAACCTTCTCAGAAACTGCAATAATTACCTGAGGGGTAACTCCAAGTCTAGTGGCTGTCTATCAGACAGCCACTAGAGGGACTTTCGGGTGGTTAGGTGACCAAAAGTCACCTAACTGATGCTGGACGTCCTCACCCTGTGCATGAGGACATCTGCTAAATACCCATAGGATTTTAACCCCTCCAGTGTCGAGTGGGGGAGGGGAGGACATGAGAGGAGGGGGGCACTATACGGAATTATAGTGCCAGGAAAACAACTTTGTTTTCCTGGCACTATAGTATTTCTTTAAAAGGAGCAGGAAAAGGTGGAGTCTAAAGAGGAAGGGGTGGGTTCTTAATCAAGAAGCGGTGCGCCCTTGACATGAAGGAGTGGTAAATTTAGATTAGGGGGGTGCTCTATAGTCATGTCTAGGGCAGCATAAAATTAAAATACACCACTGTGTGAGTGTGTGTGTGTGTATATATATATATTTACATACATACATATATATACATATATATACATATATATACACACATATATATACATATATATACACATACATATATATACATATATATACATACATACATACAAGTGTTTTGGTTTTTTTTTGGGAGAGTTCCCACACTTTTTTCCCCAGGACTTGACCCCTGTGGTAACCTGCATGTTTGTTATTATATACAAATTTCTGTGTGCTCTCACTTAATTATTTATTTACTATAGGGACTAGACAGGTGTCTGACAGTGCATTTTACCCCGAACTGGGAAGCCATCTTACTTTTTCCAGAGCTTGCTTGTGACTCCATCCAGGGTCCAGCAGTGCATGGTTCCTGAATTGCAGCTGGCGTTCAGGATTCAGCAATAGGAGCTCCGGCATCGTGGCCTGCGGGACTCTCGCACATGCGCGGTAAGTTCTAGTAGCCGTACGGGAGCCACCTAGTGGTATAAAAGTATACCGCGGCTAGGATTTGCCCGGGAAATTTAAAAATTCAAGCGTTGGTGTAAATGTAGGCTGTCTTTACTTTCTGCATTCGTCCACAAGGTTAGTTAAGCTGAAATTTTGCTAATTTTGTCCATCAAATATTTAACTATTTATTTGAATTTATTCTAATTTGGTAACCTTGTTTAAATTAGATGGATTCTTCTCCCACCTTCCTTAGAAGTGTATCTAGAAAAAAAAAAAAGGTGAGTCCAGTTAATGGGAGTACAAAAAGAGGGCATTGACTGCCTGAAAGTGTTAACATATGGCCTTTTCTTTTCAGCCCTAGAACCTCTCAGGATTCATCTGCAAGAAAGAGGACACAGAAAACTAATCGCTGCATGGGTTGTGGTTCAAAAGCCCCAGATAGGAAGAACCTGTGCTTCCAATGTATGGAAGAAGTAGCAGAGAGGCAAACTAAAAGAAGCTCACCCCAAACAGACTTAAAAAAATGGATTTCAGATGCCATCTCTGAAGGGTTTCAGTCAACATCAAAAAGGGCAACCGAAAGGTATAGCGAAGCTTCTGTTTCTTTGGGATCTAGCCTGGAGCTAAATGATCCATATTCAGAAGATGAGGAGTACTATGAATACTGGAAATCTCTAGACTCCAGGAAGGTTGACAAACTAATCTCTCTGGTTAGGAGCACCTTAAAAATTCCAGAAGATAGCCGGGAAATATCAGCTTCAGATGTCTTCTGCCAGACTTACTTTTCCGCTACACTCTACTATAAAATAATTGATCCATTCTGAATGGTCCAAACCAGAAAAGAGACTTGCTCTGCAAGCAAAAGTGAAAAGAATGTACCCATTTGCATCAGAGGAAGTAAAGCATTGGGAAACCATTCCAAAAATTTACGCTGTTGTGATCCGATTAGTAAAGAAGACCCTACTTCCTATTGATCGCATGGCGTACCTGAAAGAGCCTATGGGAAAGAGAGTGGACTCTAATCTGGTTAAACAATATCTGGCAATTGGGTTGGGATTGCATCCAGCGGCAGCCTTAACGTCAGTAGCCAGAAGCATGAAGGTCTGGATTGGAAACCTAGAAGAAGATATAACCAGTGGCACAAGCAGAGAGAACTTAATGGAATCCATGAAAGACATAAAATTGGCATCGGACTTCATATCTGAATCTGCTTTAGCTGTCACAAAATCTCTGTCGAAAAGCCTTGCATTGTCTGTTGCGGCTAGAAGAACACTGTGGCTCCATTCCTGGATAGCGGACTACGCCTAGAAAAACAAGCCTTTGAGCATTAACTTTGCAAGGGGAAAGGTCAAGATGGAGTCTATAGCATCCATAAAACAGGCCATCCATCAGGATGACTGGCTAACATCGATAGACCTGAAAGATGCATACTACCAGATCCCAATACATTAATTCCATCAGAAGTTCCTGAGATTCTGGATATCAGGAAAACACTATCAGTTCCAGGGCATGCCATTTGGTCTAAGTTTGGCACCAAGAACATTCTCGAAGGTTCTCATCGCAGTTGTTGCAATCCTGAGATGGATCCAAGTATTCCACTACTTGGACAATATCCTGGTAGTAGCACAGGAATTCCACACAGCAGTGCATCAGACAGAAGAGGTGCTTAACTCTGCAAGAATTTGGGTGGCTTACAAACAGAGACAAAAGCAATCTCATTCCATCCAGACACATAGTGTTCCTTGGAGCGAGTATAAACACAGAAGCTTCAACAATCTCTCTATCCCAAGATTGTATTGCTCAGATCAAGAACAAGATATTAGAATTCCATCCAAGAACAAGAGTTTGAGCAAAAGATTACATGAGTGTACTGGGATCCCTCACGTCGACCATAGGTCTGGTCAGATGGGCACATTGGAAGATAAGACAGGCTCAGATGAACTTCCTCACACAGATTAACAAGTCAGCAATGAACTGGGATCAATGGATCATAATTCCCCAAGACCTGAAGCTTCAACTAAGGGGGTGGATAAAAGGATCCAATTTGACCAAGGGCTTTCCCCTGGAAGATCCCCAATGGAAAGTGATTACTATGGATGCAAGTACAAGAGGATGGGAGCTCATTTCAAGAACCTTGTTGCGCAAGGAGTATGGAACAATCAGATCTGTCTTCTCCACTCCAACATCCTGTAGATGAGGGCAGTTTTCAAGGTAATGATGTCCTTTGCCATTTACTTGAAGGGGAAGAGACTATTGATAAGAGCAGACAAAAGGGTGGTTGCTGCCTACCTGAACCACCAAGGAGGCACAAAGTGCTATCAGTTGCTTTCTCAACTACAATCAATTATGCAAAGGGCCAGGACTCACCTGTAAGACCTAAAAGTGGTATACTTACTAGGAACAGAAAATACCTTAGCAGACTTCCTGAGCAGAGCACGTATAGAGCCAGGGTAATGGTCTCTAAACAAGGAAGTCTTCCTACAGGTAGTGAGGACATGGGGAATCCCACAAATAGATTTGATGGCCACGTCGCGGAACTCGCAAACAACCAGATTCTTCTCAAAATGGAAAGACAACCAAGCCGAAGCCCAGGATGTCCTATCCCAAAGGTGGGAGTTCGAGTTGGCTTACATTTTTCCACCAATACCACTAATCAGCAAAGTACTGAGGAAAGGAGAATTGTACGGTGAATTGCAATCATCCCATCATGGCCGAGGAGACCTTGGTTTCCACTCCTGTTACCAATGAGCCAAAGAGTCCCACTAATACTTGCACTGAGAGGGGACTTGCTCATCCAGGGTCCAGCAGTGCATCCAGAACCCCAGTCACTTCAGTTAGCGGCATGGTTCTTGAGAAAAACAACCTCTTGAAATCGGGCCTGTCAGAGTCTGTCTCTAATACTCTACTAAAATCCAGGAAATGCTCTACATCAGCCTCCTATTATAAAATATGGGAAACGTTCTGCTCCTGGATGGTGGATAAGGGAATTTCTTGTAATGCACCTCGCGTGGCAGACATCTTGAACTTCCTTCAAGAGGGTCTGGATAAAGGGCAGAGTCTGAGCACTCTAAAAGTTCAAGTTTTGGCAATCTCAGCCTTGACAAATTCCAGATGGGCTTTGAATCCTCTCGTAATGAGGTTTTTTAGAGCAGTTTTGAGGATTAGACCACCTACCAAACAAAGTCCTTAGGACTTACCTCTAGTACTAAATGCTCTCATTAAAGTACCTTTCAAGCCACTAGTAGAAATAGGAATTTATTTACTCACCATGAAAACTCTATTCCTAGCTATTACATCGTCCAGAAGAGTATCAGAGATCCAGGCATTATCTCTGGTTACTTCATGGGCTTCAAGAGCGGAGGTGCCGGTTTTGGATATCTGTAAGGCAGCTACATGGTCCTCTCCGATTACATTTGTCAATCACTGGATTTGTCTTCCTCAACTGATTCACGCTTTGAGAAGGCTGTTCTTGCTTCTGTGGCAGGAAAAGATGAATAAATACTATGATTTACTTTCTGCATCAATAACAACTACTGTATTCACTGCCCTTTGTTAAGATCCCACCCTTTTCAGAGCTTGAGTAATACCCATATGTGATGCTGCCATGCATGGCCAGTAAAGTAGAAAATTGTTTCCATACTTACCGTTATTTTCTTTTCCTGGCTATTATACATGATAAAACAATAGAATAAATACTGCACCAGTAAACGAAATGACAATTCGGGATCAATCTAAAAAACACAAATAACATAGTGCAAAATGTATATATATAATGATAGACCCCTTATGTAGAGTAAAACTCACAGGATTTAGAGCCATCCCAGGCTCTTTTTAAGATGCAGGAGGGTGCCTAAAAAAGCTAAAACGATATCCTTGAGGACAGTAGCACAGGATACAAAGTGCAGAATCCAAAATTTATTGAACAAATAAACAATTAAAACAGGGACAATAAGCAGTGTGGATTCTGCACTTTGTATCCTGTGCTGCTCTCCTCAAGGATATCGTTTTAGCCTTTTTAGGCACCCTCCTGCATATTATATAGAGCCCGGGAGGGCTTTCAATCCTGTGTGTTTTACTCTACATAAGGGGTCTATCATTTTATATATATACATTTTGCACTATGTTAAGTTATTTGTGTTTTTTAGATTGATCCCGAATTGTCATTTTGTTTACTGGTGCAGTATTTATTCTATTGTTTTATTATTTATCTCTAAGTGTTGTGGGATACACTTTTCACTGCACCAGCTATTTGTGATAATTGGTAGCGCCAATACACCTTGATTTCTTTCTATTATACATGGCAGCATCACGCTCCCTCCCTTCTGGATTCTTCAACTGGAGCTATTTCACAAGACTAGGGGGCTCTAGTGGGGAGGGGGCTTTTATTGGATTTAATTGTTTAATTATTCCTGTCCTGACAGCTGGAAGGAGGAGCTTACCCAAATGTGATGCTGCCATGTATAATAGTCAGGAAAAAAAAAAAAAAACGGTAAGTATGGAAACTATTTTTTACCATATAGCATAGCTATTCTGAAAATATTTTATATACAATTTTAATAATTTTTTATTTGCTACATTTGTTATAGAATTGATATTTTGTTTAATTACCCATGTTTAACACTATAGGACTATAATGTGTTATATATTTAGTGTGTAAAAAGATACAATAATGTAGTAATTTTATCTTATAGTACTCGTGAAATATAGATGTCACATTCTGTTTATTTATTAAGAATTTCCAATTTGTCAGTTTTATAATTGTGTTTGAATATTTTCTGTCTCTATATTATTAACAAAGTAAATCAATGTGAATCTTGGAGATCATTCTATAATATAGTTTATTATCTCAGAAGGTCAATGATTTCAATACTGGCCTTTCTAGCAAATTGGAGGTGCAAGAGTAAATCAATAGTCAGCTCCTTTGGGTCCACATTTCACTGAACAATCTCCTGATAGCTATACTTGCACTTTCTGTAGCATCTGAACACAGCAAATCTGTCAGGCTGTCACATTTTCTCACCTTTTTTTTATTCCATGTTAAATGCATAAAGTGGAGATGACATTTGAAGAAGAAAAAAAAAAAAAAAAAAAGATCAGCGAATATATATAAGGCTTAAGGAAGCTTAAGATTATCTGTAATACATTTACCTCAATAGTGCTAATAGTGCTAAATGTATTACATTTTGCATTATGTAATGGTTGAACATATGTATTTTGCAAATGTTGTACACTAAAAAACAAATGAATGTCAAAACAAACAAAACAAATAACCTGGTGGGTTCAACGCATACAAAATATATCTTCTTTTATCTCCGCAACTCATTAGGTGGGAATTTGGGGGTTCTGGAGAACCAGGGCTTTTGCCCCCTGAAACACCATACAGGTATCATCACATCCGAGTGACATCCTGGTCAGGGGACCATGGGGGTACCTGCTGGTCAACAAGACTTCATTGTAAACTATTAAAATAATTTTAAAAAAAAACACTACATTGAGAAAAAAATACATAAGTATCCTGTCACTTTGAGAGAAATGAAACTTACCATGGTATACGTCCTCTCCTTTAAGGTGTACTAAGCAGGGGTGTGGTGTTGTGTTGGCCTTTTTTAGCCCCCCTCCATCCCAAAAAAAATATTTTAATACATCTTATTATTCCTTTTAGCCCTCATTGAATCTGTCTTGTTGAGGTCTTCTGGTTGAGAGCATCAAACTTCATGCTGAGTATGAAGATCCCAAATGAAGGTCCTGCAACCTTAGCAGAACCAGGGTTAAATTTACCATTAAGCAGAGCAGGCATCTGCCTACAATCGCATACCCGAGAAAGGCACCATAGGTGCCTTCTCTGCCTGTTAAAGACACCTGTGGTGCCTCTCTCAGGTTAAAAGCAGCCCCCCTTGGCTTCTCACAAACTACTACACATGTTTCTACCAACACTGTTTCACACATTGTTACACAAACTACTACCCACACCTACACTGGTAAAAACTCATAGACATACCCAAACACACAGAAATATGCAGTCACAAAGGCACACACTACTGCGTGCACACAAGCCATACACACACAGACATTTCTTCTAAACTTTTAAAAGAATTATTCTTATAATTCCAATAATGCTAATAACCATATCCTTATAATAATGATATACCAATCAACATTTTTTTTTAATTGTCTGTTTTACACCTAAACACAGCTTGTGCCTCCACTCTCTCTTCCCTCCTTTTCTATTTAATTGGATGTTTGCATGCAGGGCTTCAAAATAAGCTGTATTGGAGTATATCAGTCTTTTGTACTAAGTGGTGCGCTAAACTGAGGGTACTCAAACTTTCTAACTCACAGTAACATTCAAGGTTTAAATTCAGCAATGAATTTGAATAATCCTAGACGTTACCTTGTGTGGCCTCTAGTGTCACTTCACCATAGTTGTGTACTCATTTGGTGCACAATATGTTCAACAAATTCAAATTCCCCCCCCCCCCCATGTGTTTCTGCACTCCTGACATCATTCCTTACAGCAAAAGAGCAAGCACTGTAGAGCTTGTGCTAAAGGATGGCAGGAAGAAAATGTTTTGCCCACTATAACATCAGTGCTATGTTCATACACCCTCCCCTCACGGAGTGGTAGGGTGGAACCTAACTGCTGCCCCAAGCGGTAGTTATGGCAACCAAGAGATACATTGTATGGAAGGTTACCTGGTCCTGGGAATACTGGAAGTTTCTGTCAGGTTGGAATGTTGCTGAAGGGTTGATCCTCGCCAACGTGGAGCTAGCAAGCATTGGACATAACAGGCTTGGGGAGTTCCAACAACCTTTTTTGAGTTGAAAGCAGACAGTATGTTTAAGAGGAATATTGGAAAGTTGTGTTATGGTTGTGTCTGCTGATTATATAGCCAGCAGCTGGCAGTATGTTCGACTAATGCTGCCTTGATATGGCCATTGCACTACCACCTATATTGAAGACGTTCTGTTTTATTTGAAAGGTAGGGGTGTGGTACAAGGATAGAATTATGGCATGATCAGCAGTCAGGTAAGTGGCATTGTCATGAGCCTGGGGTATGCATGGAAAATGACAGGCTATTTATCTTTTCACATACAGCCTCAACTCTACTGACATAAACAAGGCATTGATTTAAAAAGCTTTTCAAATGATTCATTACTGTTAGAAAAACTTTACAAATGGTTAATCTACAGAAGTCACCATTACAGTCTGTGGGAATTTTTGTAGATAAATCATTTGGAAAGTGTTTCTAACATTATTGAATCATTTTGAAAGCTTATAAAATTAAGTACCAAGTATAAGAAAGGGGTTGGAAAGAAAAGACAGAGTCATGGGGCTGAGGTGGGTAGGAGAAACAACAGAGGACACTGATAGAAAAATGAGGCTGAGCAGCCATGTTGGGTCAGTTTCTACTGCTTTCTGACCAACTGCTGCTCAGCCTAACTGCAGTTTCACACAGAGCAATTGCAACAACAGACAAGTTAGGTTGAGCAGCATTTGATCAGATACAAAAGTAAACTTTTCTAAAAACAAAAATACAAAATCATTAACATTCATTATATGCAACAAACTTTTAAAAATGAGAATTGAAAATCTGATTACTGTTGTCCTTTAATAAGAATTAAAGATTGGTAATTATGAAGACTTTCATGTGAATAGGGAGTTTATAATCAATGAATAGAGGGTTTGGGGTAACAGTAAAGGAATTAGAGGATATTACTAAGACTGTTGCAGGGTTTAATTAGGAATTCATGCATAAGACTCCACTCAGCTCACCTTCTGTGACAAGTGGGTGCCAGGACAGAAAAGTCAATTAAATAAATATGTGTTATTATATGTGTCAGTAATGGCTAATCTCTGCTAATATTAAACTATATTTCCAATGGTTGACTGATGATCTTGGGGTATGCAGTAAACCAGCATCTGTATTGCCAATAAATGCAGTGCCAGGTTCAGCCATCACTGGCACATATATTTAAAAGAAAATATATTGCATGTTGCTGCATGGATGGGGATGGGGT